AAATTGTCCGAAGCCTTTTTTCAATGAAATATGGAAACAAACAGAGACATGAGGTTCAAAATGTACAAAATTGCTTGACAATCATCGTTGACTTCATACTCATACAATGTTATTAATTATATGGCAGAAGAAGACATCAAGATAACGTCATATCCACCATATTCGCCAGGCCTGATACTATGTAATTTTTGGCTAACTAATTCTATCGAACGTAGGTTAACTGATTAAACAAATGAAACATGATTAGCTCAGGAGGTTTCCAAGGTACCTAAAAATTTTTTCGAAAAAGACTTCAAAAAAAACTTTTAACAAATTGTTAGAAAGGATCGAACTTGGTATAAATAATCATGGCAACTATCCTCAACATTTGATAAAATAACATTAAAAATATCTCCTTATCTTTATATTTTTATTTAATGCTCTTGGAACTTTTGGTTTGACCTAAGCATATGTCGCATGCCTTTACACGTACAAGCAAGCAAGCATACAAACTCCGTTTGTTTCATATGGTCCTTCCTTCAATCAAGAGAATAATGATCAACTGAGGAGCCTCAGAGTTAGCATTTACTAATGAATATCATTATGTTTTGACATTATTCTTGGCGATATTTTTATGATATATTGAATTCGAGAGTCACTTTTGTTTTAAACCGCTTCTACAACTAACCTTCTTTAACAGAGATAAAAAGAGTATCTGTAATTTCGCCAATTCTATATTCGCCATTCGCGAACTTTCTCACGAAGTTCGCCAATTGGCGAATTACTAGTGGATATTCGCCAATTGACGAAAACTACAATTGGCGAAATGAGGAATTGGCGATAAGATGTTACCCCAGATAAAAAATAGATTAATTTTTATGCCAGACAGGATATTAGTTTTCACTTGACCTTATTATTATAATGTCATGAATGTAAATATTTTTGTACAAAATTACTTGAAAGTTCTCATAGATTATGTTACAAATCACACAGATAAGATGTGACATGATGTGTAGTAAATATGCAAAGAAGTCATGAAAAAAACAAAATCTTCGTATATATATATATCAGAGCTAAAGCAGTATACTTAGGGTTTCATCTTTATTTATTACTACATTACACAAGGTAAGCTGTCTGTATCAGAAATGTATGGAGACTGTTTTGTGGAATCAGTTGCACCAAGCCAAACAGTGTTTTTCAGTCTCTAGCGATCTTACCTATCGGCTTCGTCAATTAGGATTGTCCCACCATTTTAGTATTTATTTCATTAGAAGCATATTAACACCTATTGACGATAGTCATTACCTAATTTCTTTCTTATTTTAGTTCAGAATAGATGAAGCATTTCACCATTGTCTTGTGCGGTTTTATGTTTCTGGCTGGTTCCTTTCAACGTTTTGTATCCGGCCAGCGTCCGACCACCGAAAGAATTGCACCGGACAAAGGTAATTGGGGGCGTGAACGAGAATGGCGATATTGCTCAGCTAATAAATGGGCTATCGGATTTCGTCTAAAAGTGGAAGCAGATGCGGCACGAGCGGATGATACAGCTATGAATGCAATGGAATTAGTTTGTGCAGACACAAAGAAAGAAGGCAGCGAATTTATAAAAGCAATTGAAGGACATTGGGGCAATTGGGGTAGCTATAAATACTGTCCGCAAATCGGTGATTTTTTATCGTCAGTAAGATTCAAAATTGAACGGCCTCAAGGAGCTGGTATTGGCGCTCAAGATGATACAGCTGCTAATGATGTTGAGTTTATTTGTTCCAACTCCTATTCTACCATCAAATCAACGAACGGTGAAAAATGGGGTGATTGGAAGACATTTGTGTCCTGTCCGAATGGATCAGCTATCTGTGGATTTTCATTGATTTGGGAAGATAACCAAGCAGGACTCGATGATACAGCTGCAAATGGCGCATTATTTGATTGTTGCAAATTAGGTAACTGGAAAACTTGCTTTATTTTTGAAGATTGTTTATCCGAACCCACCTTCTCTATGCTCTGGATCAGAGTTATAACAAGCTAGTAGATCGGTTACAACTCTGTCCTGGATAGAGAGGACGAGTTTTTAAGGTACGGTAAAGCAGACAAAGAGCTCGCTCTATCTCTCAATTCTTTTCAAAACATCGTACTGCCTTCTCAAAAGGTCTTCGCCTTTACTATTTTAGATCCGTGTTTGTTCAATCCATGTAAAAATGGAGGCACCTGCAATTCAGAACTGTTGGTATCACAGGCTTCTGCGTCGAATTATAACTGCAGTTGCAATGTCGGCTATGAAGTAGGAAAAGTCGGAGAGAAATTGACTCTTTAAATCTGAAAATTTTCTTTGTTCTATAGGGTTTAAATTGCGAAAACAAAAAAGGTATTTGAATAATTGCACCCCTAAAAGAACCAGTTGTTGTCATCTAATTTACTTTCATTAGATCCTTGTCGTAGTCAACCATGTAAAAATGAAGCGAGATGCATAGCCTCGTGGGATGGAAATGATTACAGTTGCTCCTGTAGTAGCACAGGCTTTGGTGGAAAAAACTGTGGTGCGTAGGATGCATTCTGGCTGACATAGGAACAGCAATTCAGTCGTAATTACACGTTTTTCAGATCGACCTTGCATCAACGGAAGAAAATGTTTGAATGGTGGCTTGTGTCAGTATAGTCACTGCTATTGCAAAGCTGGATATGAGGTATATCAAGAGAACATATGAAGTATAGAAGACTAAATAAAAGTTTGAAAATCATTTTAGGGTCCGAATTGCGAATCAGTAGTAGGCAAGTGTTAAAATGACCAATTGTGCACGATATTTTACTTAGATGTATGTTGTACTTGAAGATTTGTGCAAATCTCTACCGTGTCGAAATAAAGGAGTATGCATTCAAGGTGGACTCTCTTATCGATGCGACTGCGATAGAACTGGTTATCAAGGAAATAATTGCGGTAAGAAAGTCCAGTTAAAACAGTGTGGTAAATTTCAATTAACTATTTTACAACTATTCAGAAAAAACCTGTAACAACAATAAGCCATGCTACAATAATGCCATATGTAACAATAATGTTTGTGCGTGTCCAGCGGCTTATGATGTAAGAGAAAGAGAATTCCTTCGATATAAGTAAATAATTTGTTAATACGTTCAATGGTTTTCTTTTAGGGTTCGAATTGTGAAATTCCGACATGTACGCGATTAGCTGCTAACGACTAATCTAAACTATTTTGTCATATTTCACTTATCAATTCTCGTTTTTATTAGTGTCATGCGACAGAAGCCCGTGCCAAAATGGAGCACCTTGTTTCTCCAATAGCTTCAGTCTTTACTGTGATTGTCAGAACAATGGGTGGCAAGGCACAATGTGTGGTAAATGCAAAACTGTAGATCCATTCCAGTTTATAAGTGAAACGTATTTTATTTTTAGATCAACCCTGTATTAATGGTTTACCATGTAAGAATGGTGGTGCTTGTAGCAACAGCACATGTACCTGCAAGTTTCCTTATGGTGTGAGTTCAAATCAAATGCAATTTAGATCACCACTTTGTTATGCTTTTCTCTGTTCTTAAAAGGGTGTCAACTGTGAAATACTCATCGGTACGTTCAGAAAAAGTCACTTGTTTATATTCAAAAACTGAAAAAAGAACTTCCCTTATTACTGTTTAGAACGACCTCAAGTTGGCAAATGTAACGTTTGGTAAGAACTACAGCTTTGTCCTATTTTACTTTGTTCTAAGAAAAATAGAATATGGTAAAATATCTTTTCCACCTTCTATTAACAGGGGTGATCCACATTTAAAAATGTTTGGTCAATATCCCGGTGCAATCCGAGACCAATACATTTGTTCCGATTCTGGTACTTTTCTATTATTGAAAAATCGACTAATTAATGCTACAATAACAACGACAGCCACTCATCCTTGGTTCATATATGAGGTAACACTAATAGAAGAAGAGAATCGAATGGTATACAGCTGCACTGCTAATTGTTTTACTTTAGTATTACCTCAACTTCTATGATTATTCTGGCAAAGTTTTACTATGTTCGATGTCGCATCTAGATAGTTCTGGATGTCAAAATAATTCAAGTAAGTAACTCAAGTTGGGACTGTCGTTGGTTAAATTCAGAACTATACCCTCGGCTACTCTTTCTAGTAATTAAAGTTGAAAAATCACGATCAAGTATAAATATCAAATACCTTAACAATTATTTACGCGTCTTAATTACGTCTGTCACAAATCGCACTGTAAAGCCTTCAAAAGATTAACAGTTTAAAAGATTTTCTTGTAATCTATTTGCTGCCATTTTAGGTGAGTCCTGAGGTGAAATATTATAATATTGAAATTGAATTGGATTATTATTCGATCATCGGTGAATCAACAGGTTTATGTGTGCGTCCAATGGATGGGTGTAAATTTGAAATCCAAAGTCGTCGTCGAAAACGAGAAGTCAATTTTCTCCGTAAAGCCCATCCAACGAATCAAGAACAAAAGGTAAGCCAAATGGCTGAACAAGTATGTCAAGTTTATGTCGATGAAATGTCAAAAGTAATTGGAAAATTGAATATTTCGATCGATGTATTGACTGTTCATTATATTATTGAAGACGTCATAACAGCCTGCGTTTTTGATTTACAAACAACTGGAGATAAAGAGGTATATCAATCATTTAATACAGTTACTCGAGAAAATCTGACGCCTGTTTATTTTGTTTCGTCTTTATAGCTCGCAGCAAGCATTATTTATGTTCTGCTATCGGAAGGTATGATGTTCTTACCACCAATGAGTGATACGGCATATACAGCCTATTGGCACCAAGGATCACAACTAATGAACGAAGTACTTATTGAAGTTCAAAAACAGATTGGATCACTTTCTTGAATAACGTACATCAATGGTTAAATACTTTGCTTTCATATATCTTTTATTATTCAATTCATGCCTTTTCGCTTCTTACTGAATAAAGATTTTCGTTACGTATAAGATTGATGACATTAAAGGCTTCCTCTATTGAGTCACTTTCCAATTTTGTGAGTAAAAGAAAGGTAATCAATTTAATTTTTCTAAAAAAATAGTTATGGTCATGTGCAATAAATGAGTTACAGAATTCCACTGTCAGAAGATAGAAGGACCTCAGAAACATTGTTTGCTGGCGCTTACCTTTCAAAATAATGAACTGACCAATAGGACTTGAAAATCAAAATGTGCTTTAGTCTAAAAGAACCTTGCACAAAACGTTTTGATTCAGTTTATCAGTTGTAGTAGATAATTCTGAAATTATCCGTGTGCATGAATTTTCAGCATCTTCACTATCGAAAAAAGTTTCATTATATAAACCTCCATT